GCATTTTAACAGGCATGTGGGAAGAAGGATTCGTGAAAAAAAATGTGCTGTACGACTATTGGTATCACGCTATCGTAATCTGAAATGGATATTTTTATTATAAACGATGATATTTTGGGAATACGTATTTTTAAAGTATCCTGTAAAGAGGAATTAGAAATGACTATATATCGCGTGCATATAAATAACAGTATCTCGTAAAATTTATATTCTCCGAAAGTCGCATGCATATTGGAGTACGAAGTGTTACACGGGTACAATTTATTATCTTTCTCATATTTATTTTTATTCCGGGCAGGTGCTTCCTGTATTTCGAAAAAATTTCAATTTATTAAACACGTGTATCAAAAGATTAATTGCACAAATAGTTATTGTTATGAAAAAGATCAATATTCTTCTTTCACTATCGACACGCACAGAAAGCTTTGTTTGCTCATACCCTTTTAAACTCGAAGTGTTTTACGATTCGAAAACTGCGAGACGCATTGCATCTCCAAAGTATTCTCGCTATACTAACCAATGGAAACTCGCATTCGAGTTTCCGGATAACTAATTGCCCATCGAATCGCAATGAATCAGCGATTTCGACTTTAATATGCGGCACAGCTGCGACCTTACGAAATTATTGTTTATGTAGCAGCCAAAACTTGACATAGATTGATTAACGGGAGGGATAATTAATGAAAATTCCGATCGTGCGCCAACCAATGGAATAATACGAGCTTCGATCTGTAGCAAGATATCCTCATTGTAAAATCATACATTTGTAATTGACACGGGAATTCAGGGCGAGAATCTAGGACTTGACAGATTGATAAGACGAATAGAAGTGAGCATGGATATTTTATGATAAAGTGGAAATATATGTCTTAAGCAAACAATATTGAATAATTATGGGAAGTTTTGGGAAATAAAAATAGTTTATCATATGTTTATTATGAATTTTCGAAAATACAAGAGAAAAGAGAGAAATCAATACGAATCAAATGCGATAAAGAAGAAATCCACAAAGATATCAGAAATACCATTATTTTACGCAGAGAAATGTTTTGATCTGACATTCAATTCCTCAAGTCTCAAAGCAAATCACGAAACAATATCCACATCTTTGCGAAGAATATATTCTTACGAATACGTCTCAAAAATACATTATACAAAATATATAGAATATCATCGTAATGTAGAATAAAATAAAGATCGATGCGTGTCGCAGATTTAAATCGGAAATCCTGCAAGACTCTCGATACGAGGCGAAATCTAAATGGAAAGAGTTGATATCGGTGAAAAGTAGCATTATATACGAAGAGTGATTTAATACACGTTCTGCACATACGATACCGCTTCGTAAAATAATATATTACGGTTTTCTCGTGTGGAAAAATTCCGTAAGATACTATAAAATCTGAAATCGCAGATATATCGTTCGCCTTCGATGTCTTGAACGTCACGATAAATCTATAAAATGTTGGAGAGCGCGTAAAATCGTGTGGCCGCGACAGGGATAATCGTAATATTTCCAGAAACTCACGAAAAATTGGACAAAGTATCTCAATAAAACGAAAAATAGTGCGTGAAATAAAGCGTAAAAAATACGGCAAATTTATTTAAATCAAACACATCGAAATGATTTTTTCTCGGAAATCTTGAGTTGAATAAATTAATTTAAATTGTCCTCTTTTATGTTATTTTGTTCATGATCGATTATTCAAGATGTGGCAGTAATAAAATGGGGACATTATGTAAATAATACAGAAGATTTTATTAATGTATGTACAATTAAAGCCATGTTTAATTTTCAAACATTTTAGATGTCTTTATTATAATCATTAGAATTTGCTGTGTTTTTTTTTCTTCTTAAATAATCTATTAATAAGTAAGTTTTAACGATTTTTTCCGGAGAAAATTTTTTATGTTAAGAATTAAAGAAATGATATAGGTAATTAGATTTTTTAAATATTTTCGCGAAACTTATTAAAAATAAGTATATTTTATATTCCTCCCTTGTGCTATCTTTTCTATTTATATTTATACTCATGTTTAGAAAGATTTTTTTCTCAATTTTTTACTCGTTACTTTTTATTCACATTCATATAATTTTTCTATAATTTTTTTTATTCAATTTTAATTTTTTTTTATAAAGGAAGAGTTCTTAAATGCGAAAAAAGCAATACAAAACATCTTATTTGTATGCATGAACATGTTTTCGAGATACAATATATTATATATTTTACAAACGTGATATCCTTGATAGGGAGGGGATAGAGAAGCATAAGAAGCTGGGCGAGAAAGTCCTATAGGACTGAGCTGAAAAAATATTTTCAATATTTTCCAATATGATCAGAACGGTGCGGTTATTTGAGCTTTCTTTGACATAGACGATTTTCATCTCGCTTCGTTTTTTATCTGTTATCACGATGTCATGATGACGATCTTACGAATTATTTTTACGAAGCGAGGGTGGAATAAGATCGAACGATCAAAGACACACAAGGATCGGTTATCGGCACGTATATACGATGGGTAAACAACGCGACGGAAGTATGTACATCAAAGTATCTACCAGCGACGAGAAAGTATCGTTGTCCTCAATACTGTTGGTCGAGGGCGTAATTGAGTTTTCTCTCAAATTCTGTGATTCAGCCTTTTCCCTCTCTTTAAGCTCTTTTCCTCTTTTTCCTTTTTTTTACAAATAAATTGTCGTTCTTGTTCACTTTCGGAACATGTCAGGAAAATCAAAAAAGCGAGAGAGAAAGATAGAAATTATTAATATCGAGAAATTATATATATTTTCTATAATAAAAAAATAAAAGTGAAACAAACTACTACATTTCAAATTAATGTTGGATTTTGTCTCAAGAGATGAAGATGAAAAGGAGATACGATATACTCGACAATCTCGAATCATCATCTGCTTATTTCTCTTATTGCGCAAATTATTTTGAATAAATTTCTTCCCATCAATTAGAATAATCATGCTTGTGAAGCTTCTTTGATGGCTAAAGAGAATTCGACACAATGGCGACGGGATAAATATTCTGGTTTCATTCTGAACGCTTGAAAAGAGTGCAGTTTGGTCTATCGAAAGAAATTGTTTTATCACTTACGAAAAAATGAAAATCATGGTTATTTTAAAAATTAAGACTTACAAGAAATTTTGAGTAATTCTGATTTATAATTTGATGATTATTTTTTCTGAAATATATAGTGCACATATTTTTTAATACAATTTAATCTTTCCAAAGCCTCGGGCAACTATTTCTAATAAATTTAAAAATTTGGAAAAAAGTTTCTTTTCGGATATTGTATATGTGACCCCGATATTTTATTAATGAAAAATATTATTTAAGGATATTTATTCGTGATTGTTTTTGTGTTCTTTTATTAAGGAATAGGTCAAGATGACGTGAGTTGGTTTTGGAAGTTTATCGCTACACAATTTATTATTAAATATTCTCTGTCTTTAATAATAAAAAAATCGTGCAGGTGTGGCGTCTCTTAGGATGCCTCGTAAATAATCGAGTGTCGTTCCGAATTTATTTATAAAGGCATTCTCATATGAGACTCGCGTAGCGTTTCGCACTATTTTTTGGAAAGACCGTAAAAGTTATAAGAGCTCTCTGAAGAACCATTTATATGACTGAAAACATTTCATATTACTCTTTTACGAAGTGAAACGAGTGAATACATTCTCTTTTACAGAGAAAATTTATTTGAAATTATTTAAAATGAGAAATATATAATATTAAAAATAATATAATACTAAAAATAACGGCAATTCAAAATAAATATTATAAATCTATAATATTTATTTTTTGTTCAAGAAGTTTAATATCAAAAATATGAAAATAAATAAAAAATATGAAAATTAATTATCAACAATTAATTAAAAACCTGTACAATGTAATTTATAAACTGTGCAATGTAATTTAATTTATAATTAATATAATTTTTAATTTATTTTAACTACTCTTGCGCGTATTTCCCTTTAATATCATATTAGACAACGATACTTAGTTTCTCGTTACAAAATTAACGCGCGCTGTCTTTCTTCATAACGTCGTAGCAAAGTTAAACCGTTGTATGCTAAATGACATAAACTCTCTTGTAACCAATTATATCTCTTGTATTTCGTTATTGACGAGAGAGAAGCAGAGGGAAAGAAGTGAGAAGAATCCTTTTATAGTGGCAAGAAATTAAGAAGGGAAAAAAGGAGCACAACAAGTAAATCGCGATAGCGAATGGCCTCGTCAACATACTGGGGAGGGATCGATTCCGCGCATAAATCGATTGTCCGGTGACCCGCTTCGTCAAGGTTTTACCCGGGATTTATCTCCCAGGAAGTCGGCCTCTCGTGTATTTTCGCGCCGCCGCGCCGCGAGTTTGTTAATATTGGACCAGCCATGTTATGTGTCATGCTTTCTCTTAGAGAGCTCCTCTCAGACAGTTATGCGCGCATCTCGCGCATACCGATTTGATTGCGACTACAAATTTATTTTATCGTAGGCCATTTGCGCGCTCTCGCTAACTCGCTAACGTATTATTTGCATTCGCAATCCCAAAATGTTCAACTTGATACCTAAACCAGTAATTACAAAGATAATAGAGCGAAAGAGAAGTATGGCGTTATGTGAAAATCGCTTGTATTTTCCTGCAATGATAGAAAAAATTTCGACAAGTTCACGATTCTGTCTATAAAAAAAAATGTTAACTGTTACGTAAAATGATGTAATTTTGAGAGAGAAGAATGTCTTTTCCTCTTTCTTTTTAGTTAAATTTCAATATAATTATAACTCGTATTAATTTGAAATTGGCTGATTTGACAAGTATATCGCAAGAAAAACATTCACTTTTAAAGAGCTTTGAATAATATTAGTTCCTTAGAATCAAATATAAAATTATAGCACACATTTTTTCAATTTAAAGTTAAAGAGAGAAAGAGAGTTTATTCTGCATCTACTTTTTCTTGGTGAAATCAAGGATTTTTCATTTGTTTATTACAGGTGCGCTCGAGATCGCTGACCCAGCTGGATGCACTCAGCAGCAGCATGTTGGACACGGGGGAGCATCATCTGGAGAGTGATTCCTCGCAGCAGCAACCCCCTCATTTGCACCACCATCAGCAACCCCATCAGCTGCAACACCCCCTCGGCATCGAGTGCAATCGGATTCGATTTCTCGCGCCGGGCGCAGCACCCGTCGAGATTGTGCACCCTAATCGTACCAGACACAAACTTTCGCGATCTCAGGTAAAGTAAAAGTTTTCGCACTATTACAATTTAATACGAGTCTTTCCTTGGAGTAGATAAAGTGGCGATTATAGTTGATGCAATTTTACTATAGCAATTTCCCAGCAAGATATTAGAGAAGTTCTTTTCCTACATTCTTATTTTCTTCTCTTAAAACTGACTTAATATTTTGATGAATATTGTGGAAATTTTGTAGCGAGAAATACTTATATTCCTTATAATTATCTCTCTCATATTTATATCCCTTTGCATATTGTTATATTATATGCAGTATATTATATTTTATTGAAAGGAAGAAGATTTAATTTTATTCTTTACACTAAATTTAAAATGAGACAAATTAAACATTTTAAGGACGTAAAAAGTAAAAGAAATATTAATTTTATAAATAGTTGAAAACAAACTTTAACACAAACTTAGTTAAAGAAGAAGTTTATTAAGAGAAAGAAAAAAATAGAGAGGTGTTATATTAAAATTTGTTCAAGCTATCTTAAAAAAATCAGAACTTCTCCTTTTTTATCTTCTACAATTTTGAAATTTTTAATTTGTATTATTTTTTAAATCTTTTGTAGTTAATAAATTATCAAGCTCTTTTGAAAGAGAAAAATAATGTTTCAAGATTAACATTATTTTTGCGTGCAATACGAAATATTTACGCGACATTTGTTCGAAAAAGAAAGAGAGGGAGGGCTATATTCAGGCTTCATGGAAACAAAGAGATCGCATGTACGAGAAGTTCGATATAACGAGTGAGGAAATTCTTTCTTTATTCGCGGGATTTCCTTTATCCTAGTACAACGAACGGCTGAGAATGAAATAAAACGCGACGTGATACTCTCACATCTTTGTATCTCCTTCATTTAAGATAACACAATCTCTAAGAGAAATATAAATGTCCCCGCGTCTTCCATGTATCTCCTGCGGGATAGATATATCTTTCATTGCTCGAGTACGAGTGTCAAACCAATCGTAAGAAATGCGCGATGAGCGGCCAGAAATATCAGATTCACGGGAGAATATTTACGTATCGATAATATATTCTTCGGCCATTTCCATTTTCCAGTATCGATAAATTTCGAGTCATAATCGCAACGCGATATTTGTAAATGGGCATTTATATTAAAATGCTGCGACGTAAATAAACTGCAACAAATGAATAATCAGAGAATTGTTTAATGTTTTTTTTTTATTTTTTTGTTATTTTTTATGACGCCACTTTGCAAAAGTTACCGAGCTACTCTAACAGAGTAATTCAAATAAGATTCGAGGAGTTGAAAGGGGAGCCCTCCTGCCAGTGAAACGGTATCGATACACAAGAAAATCCGTCCCTTTATGCTATTGAAATACTTTCGGTTGCCTGGGAATTTTGCGATCTTTACGAAGTGGTCCGGACATTATCCAAACTGTGATCCATATTCCAAATGGAAATTCTGTGTCATCTAGCTGAATTTGCAATGAAGCCGGATTAAACGGCATGACGCAATAGTAATCTGCAATTAACGATCTTTTAATGAACAATCTTTTAATATTGTATTTATGCATTTAATGGCATGTTCAAATAATATAAATATGCTAATAATAAAGATAAATTAGATTAAAGGATTGCTGGGAAAGAGCCTGTGTAAAATACGCGCAATTATTTTGCGCTCCGTGTCGGTGTAACTAACTTCTTTTTTAGCTCAACGATAAAAGAAAGGTGTAGAAAAACGTTTACTGTAATTTCTAGAGATTTATAAAGGTCGTATCTATGTCGCGGATCAGCGGCATAGATTTACATATTCCTCTCCAGAGAAGGTATTCTGGCGATTAACACATTTTTTCATTTTATTAAGTCAATCTTGGTAAATAAATAAGACAATAGACGATGCAAATGAGAGAGTTAGCATCTCTTTATTAGCGATATTTAAGAAATCTCTTGAATAATATTATTTTTTTCATTTTTTTAATATTGCTTTACGCTGTGTTATATGTCATTGTACACATCATATGTATGAAAAAATATATTATCTAAGATTTAATACGCAGGATATTTTTGTAAAAAATAATTTCTTTTAGAAGAAGGATAAAAAATGAAATAAATAGCTCTATAAATATATTGTGACATATTTGTGATATTTTTTAATAAAATGAATATGTTTGATATCTTTTAAAATATTTTTTCATAAAAAATGATGTGTATATATATATATAAACAAAATTTTTCGCTGCAGTTGCATTTTAAAATAAGGTTTTTGTAAACATTGCTCTCTCATTTCGAGTAAGGTTTATATTGAACTCTATAATTAGATTCCAAGATGAATAAATTAAGAGTTTACGCTTTTCCATAGTGGTTGCAAGTCAAATTACAAGACATTATACTCGTTAACAAGACGAGATAATCAGACTAACTTTAATTGCAATTGGGAATTGTTCCATGTCGCTGGTATTGTTGGTTTCTGACATTTCATTACATCAGCTGGCCTGTTGTTGTCATTTTCTTGTGGCATGCTCTACACTATATATACGTGGCGACATAAATGTCACCGAGTAATTCTATAAAATTAATTTGTCAATTAGCATAATCCTATAGCCATGCGCGCGACAATCACGCGAAGACAATGAAATTACATTCAAAACAAAGGAAACAAAGCTTCTATCCAATGCCACGCTATATAATCGCTTGCATTATCATGAAATTTTAGCTGGCATTTTATTTCACCCTTTCGCATATCCGTCTTATATCTTTTTTCCTCTGTAAGAAATAATCTTCTTGAACGATGCAAGAAATTCTTTATCTCGTTGAACCGTTAATTAATTTCCGCTGGTAATATTTTAAACTCTCTCTTTCCTTTTTCAAGATAAGTTTTATCGATTCTTTTTAATTTCAGAATTATTTCTTACTTTACTTTATCCTTCCTTACTCAAATTGCAATATTACATAAGAATGTCTGATATTGAAAAAAAGTTAAACATTTTAGGGGCAGAAAGAGAAGTTAATTTTTTATCATACAGGGTGTCCCAGTTATCTTCCGTCATCTTTCAAAAACAGATTCCTGGGATCATCTTTCGGGGATCTTTCCTCAACGAAAATGTCGAGGCACTAATAATTTTCGAATTATAAGTGATTGGAAATAAGGGATTTTTCTTAAACTAAGCTTTGTAGAAATAAAATATTAACATTACCACATTCTTCGATTAATTTTAAATAGAGTTTACTTTAGTTGAGTTTTAATTTAAGATTTAATTGCAAAGATATATGATGACAAAAATCGGGAACATACAAAAAATGATGGCCTTCATTGACATTTTCGCTGAGGAAAAATCGTCTTCAAATGATCCCAGGAATCTGTCTTTGAAAGATGACGGAAGATAACTGGGACACCCTGTATACATTTCTTAGACTTAATTATTTAATTTCATTCTTTTCTTTAATGAAAAATATTTTTTAAAGAAATATAGTAAATATTTAATTTTATATAAATGTCTTTAATTAATTATAATAAAAACCATTGTTTTTTCGTGCGCGTTTTGATTTATTATTATTTCCTCGAATACATATAAATATTTTGTCTATAGTTATTCGATAATTATTCGTTTCCTCGGATGATATTCGGATATATACGCCGTTTGATTTACCTCATGTCCTTGGGATGCGAATAACGAGCTCGGAAATAATAGACGCCGAATCACTAAGCGATCAATCGCTATCGAACACCCGATATTCACTGGATCATCTTGCGTCCTTTGAGTGGGGATGAGGTCCTTTGTGTAATCCCCTTGGCACAAACGACTAACTGGAATACGAAACTTAGAGATATCCGGCAAAGCAGTGAGAAAATAGGGCGAAACATGGAATTGCTATTAGCCGAACCCAATTTCATAAAACTGCGGGAATTGTAATACCAGAATTTTTTACATGACTGAGGAATACATGCCTCTGTGAAATACTTGATGAAATCATAATGTTACCCAATTCGAAATAATTTTAGTCTATAATTATATATAATAAAATAAAATGAATATAAGTTAATGTAGTTTACTAGATATACGTAATTACATTACGTAGCAAGTAATTGCATTTTAAATCTCACCATTGTGCTAAAAATATTGTCAACTCCCGTATAATATATAAAAATTGAAACGCTCGAGAAATATATTTAATCTATTCTTATATAAGCCAGTTTAATATTACAAATTCTTATATAATACTTATATTATTGCACTGAAATTAAACTTTTATATGAAGATATAATATTATCGTAGCTATATCGTATAAAATATTTTCTTCTTTCTCTCTCTCTCTCTCTCTCTCTCTCTCTCTCTCTCTCATCACGTAAATGCGAGCACGTTTATTATAATTATATAAATATTTAACACCGAATTCTGACATGAACAAAACTTGATATTGGAAATGTATGCACCTATGAACAACCGACAATGATTAAAATCGACACAATTAAAAATGCATAAAGAACACGATGGAATTTAGATCTAATATAAATCGAATATTAATAACGAATTTTGTGACCGCTGTATTGGTCCATTGATATTTACGTGGATGTTAATAATCGCGGAGAATATTGAATACAATCGACAATTATCCGCTGTATTTTTGATCCCATTTAGATAATGAAATTACAATTTCGAGTATATGTATAAATAGAGATATATCGCATAATTTTCACAATTATACATAATAAAAAATGGATATTATACCAGATTTAATACAAATATTACGATAATGATATATTTACATGCAAAAGGTGAATCTCTATAATTATTTCTAATCTCTTTCTTGTCAATATGTATGGATTAAATATTGTGAGAATTAACAAAAAATAAATAATAGAATCTTTTATTACATTTTTTATTTTTATCGGATTTATAATTCAAGAAATTATTTCATATTTAGCTATCATATTATCCTGTCAATCTAATTATAATGTAAATAATTTGTAAAGAAGTACATGTCCTAAAATATTGTACAAAGCAGTAAGCCGTTAATTTATATAAAAACCTTAGAGAACTGGACGCACGCATTTCGTGTCGCAAAATTACCCGGATTTATCGCACTCATACCATCAAGGTCACATTTTAATGGACATAAAAATTTCAGCGAATTGCAAGAGAGTGCGAAATTACTGCAATTTCCTTCCACAAGTGGTCGACGGCGAGCCAAAATTGTAATGGCTCGCAAGAGAGCTTTTTTAAAGCTCCGTCGAAAATAAAGTCGACAGTTTTCTTGTATCATTGTCGGTTTCGACAAACGCGCGCAAAATAAGATTTAGTTAATAGATTAGATTGTGGCAACGACCGAGCGAGAGCTTTTAACGACACGAACGAGTGGTAATTTGCAAAGTACACTTCGAATTTTATCGGTATCCCCCAGGTGGTTTCAACATTCTCATAAAGCTTTCGGAAGAATTGAAAGGCATCCGCATAAAAATCATTTATTTATATCACTTTTACGATTCTATATTTTTAATAGTAAATATCAATTAAATTAGAAAATTTTTATTAAGGAAAAATTAAAATTTTTGTACAGAGACATATTTTTATAAATCGATAAATTGTCAGAGTTTGCATCAAACAGATTATTAAGGCTTATATTCTCAAGTCTTTTCCTTTTAAGAAATTTATTTTTTTACGCAAATAATATCATATATTTCTCTTTTTGTTATAAAAAATTTTAAAAATCTATTCTTTAGATTTAACCTCGCGTTTAATTTTGTTTAAATAAATATTTATAGTAAATATTTATTATATATTATTTTGTTTATGATGTAAACAAAAAATCCATTATTTATTTAAAAAAGAATTTTAAATTGCAAATCGTTACGTAAATACATATGCAAATAGGAACGAAAAGATAAATGTTATACGAATAAGAGACTTATATCTATATGTACTCTTTTGAAATGTAAGTGGCCGCGTAGGCGTTGATTTGGACTACTTGCAGAAACGCCTACGCACACCATCTGTGACGTAAAAACGCAAATGGCGATTGTAACGATAAAATGAGAGCATCTCTTCAGTCATTATTAGATATGAAATTGCAAGCTAAAAATTTTACTATTTTAATTTTCAATATTCTAAATTAATTCAAAAAACATATACATATGTAATTACATTGAGTGGTAATAAACGCATGTCAAATGATTTCCATGTCATTTCTACAAATAATTGTTTTACAAAGCTGAGCTTATGACAAATTAGATAAATTAATAAAAATTTGCGAAAAAGTAATATTAAAAATTATGAAAATACATGTAAAAAATATAACACACTTGTGATTAGAAATTTGATCATATATATATATATATATATATATATATATATATATATATATATTATCATATATACATATTTTGTTAAGAAAAAAATCTATTAATTTTTTAAATTATGCATATATTTCGTTTGAACAAACAAATAAATAACTGTTATTATTGTAAAATATAATATATTCTTTCTTTTTTTTTAAATGGCCGAAACATTTATATTTCTGCTCTTAAAATAAAACACATTTCTTTTGGAAAAGAGAAAAATCCATATAAATCAATTTAAATATTTCGTTCGTTTAAAAACATTTGCATACTTTTAGCCAAAGTCAAGTCATCACATATACTGCTAATTCTATTCAAGTCGCGTAATAATATATGACGAAAATTAAGTTTATCAAATTGTGCCCTTTTCGTATAGTGTAACTTTTTTCTTTTTTAACGTTTTATTCTTGGCAAAAATAGATTAATGATTTTCTCGTATGTAGATTATTAGATAAAAAGTTTGTCGGAAACAAATTCTCTAAAATAAATGGTAGGATTGCTCTCAAACTACTTTTTTAATTACTTTATATAATATATTTAAATATTAGTTTATATAATATATATTTAAACTATATAATTATATTATAGAAAAAAAGTAAATAACAATAAATATTTAATTAATTTATAGAGAAAGAGGAAAATTACTTTTTGACTTAATTATAAGTGTCAGATTTTATTCTATTTATAATTTCTGGAGTATAATAGGATAATGCAAGAATAAAATTCTACGAATTAAGTCGGAAATTTAGAGCGTCGGCAGCGGTAAAAAATCGCTACGAGGTAAATCGTTACAAGGAATGATAAACGATAATATTACAGTCTTGCCTCTTATGGGAAGTGGCGGAGGAATTTTCATTAAGCGCCCACACGCAGGTTAGTATCATTGTCACGAACTACTCAAGTATTTATCCTTACTTTAGGAAACTTGGTAAGTTACATATCTCCGACGACTGTTACCATCGGTTATTCAAATTGATATTACACAAACGTGGAATATTATTACTGTCTTCTCTACAGATCGTATCTAAAAATATTAAATTCTAATGGTATGATAATATGTTTTCAATCTGTATGAATTATTTCGATGGGAGCTTAACAAGCGAGATGTTATTTTTTTTTCTAATTTTTTGTATCTATGTTAAAATATTCTATGTTGAAGTGATTCGTTGATTGTTACCCAAACAATTTAAATAGAATCTATAATTTGCGATAAAATTTGACACAAATATTTATTTATGATTTTATGTGTTCAAAATTATTCTCAATCTTTATTTTGACAAACAAATTTTAATGAAATTTTTTTATTTAAAATGATATATACAAAATATATATATTCCTAAAGTATGGATGGAAATAAAATTTGTGAAACATTTATAAATAAAAATAGCATGTAAAGTAATATATTAAAATATATCTTTTAATAATACTATAAGAAAATAATACAACAATTTTAAATCTTTATCTAACAGTCTCAATTGTATGCTGAAGTATAAACCGTCTCGATTATTACATTTAATAGTACCGAAAAATTATCATAATAATTATTATAATATTTATTTAAATCTACATATTAAACTTTCTCTCCGTCTCTCTCTCTCTATTGCAAAGCGTCGACATAATAACCAGATTAAACAATCTTGATTTACTTCAATGCGTGGGTATTATAATACATTGCGTGAACTATATACTTGCGTACGTTGCGTATATTTTCTAAGCCTTTGTAAAGGATAAAAGGAAAGTTTTAGTAATATGAACAAAGAGTGTGTATCAAGGAACATATCCGTTATAAACTCTTGAATGTGATATGTACAGTTGCTTACACGATTATATACTCAAAATTACATAGCTAGAGAAGTATTTAATAAGTCTCGTTATGTATCTCATATTGTAAAGTTCGCGTTTGGGACAGTTGCAGTTACATCGATAACTACGATTCTCTCAGAGATTCTATTGCAAGATAAAAACAGTTATCGTTTCAGATTTGAAAATTATTAAAAAGTTACAAATACATACAACATACACTAGATTTAACATAATCTTTGCAGATTTTGCTTAATAATATCCTGATATGTTAATTTCCCTCGATTAAATTTCTTTTTGTTTCTTCTGACTTATTTTGTTTAAGCAGCAAAGTGAATTAATTTGTAATGATGACGGGCAAAAATCTTTTTGCTACTTGCGGGTAGCTCTAGAGGCACAACAGAGCGATTGCTTCCACATGCCGTGCTTTAATATTTAATTCCGCGGACCGATTCACCAGCCTACCAGGTGACTCGAATTTATGAGAACGCCGCTCCTGCATTATTTATGAGGAGAAAAAAATCGAGTCGAATGGGCGAACGTGGCAGTAATATTGAATTTGGGTACGAGAACTACGAAGTAATCATGATTTTTTTTCTCTTGAAGAAAACGCTGGCCAATTCTCTAAACTCTTCTTCATAAGTTAAAACATACTAAAGATCACAAGCAAAATATAAAGAATAGTCAAATTAAATTAATGATGAATAAAATAATCATTATTGATAATAAATTAATCATTAAATTAATGATGAATAAAATTTCGACACCGAATTAATATCTCAAATCTTGTTTACGTAAAGAAATAAAACTAAGGATATTTTTATTTTGGTTACAGGTGTCTAGTAACGAATACTTTAGTGTCAGTTTCGAAGTGGGCGAGGACACCGCCGCAGCTTCCTTTGAACGCGAGGAGTTTCTGCCAGCTACGAGGGGAACTTACCTGGTGTGAGTGAAGCATTATCATACAATATATTTAATATTTAGCCGGTCTGTGCCGTCAATAAATTTCTCGTTTTATGTCAAGTAAAAATAAAATATGACATGCATTATTTATAGATGTACGCATCTAAACAATATTGCGTTTATAGACTGATTCTCGACACGTATGACTTCTACATTACATTATATATGATTTATGAAAACTTCTATTATAATAAGATGAAAAATCGATACTATCCTTGTTTATAATATTGTTATTTTCTTATCCAACATTTGTTATTCTACAATACATTCAATAATCGATTTTTAAACGGATGCGATTGATTTTAGAATATTTGCTCCGATATCGATATTTTCATATCGATGCACATATATGTGTGTCGTCGCAAAATTGAAATTTTCTTTAATGTGCATAATTATAATTACTGTTGATAATTCACAATTATTATTAAAATTATATTTTATTTCTTCATTCTGTTTCAATTAAATATGTAATTTTAACTTTGTTATATTTGTGTCGAAAAATACGGGACTGATTGCGTTATTCGTTAATTACATGGTGAATTCAAAATTGACTTTCATTACACACACACATTTATATAATTTTTTAAATATATTTTTTCTTAAAAGAATATTTTTAACCATCAAATATTTTCAAATATAAAAAATTAGTTTAAAATAAAAAATGTAATACTTAGCATTACATTTTTAGGCAATATTCTATTAAAGCAAGTAATATGCCGACATAGCGCGTTACATTTAATCTCCTTTAAATTCACTCGTGAGAAAGAGGATAACCTTTTTTCCTCCTTCATCAATCTTCAAAATGATCCGGCAATCCATTCAATAAACGGTTAGAGAAAGAAGTAGGGGGAAAGACGGAAGCAGCACTTCTATTTTTGAGATCGCTAGGAGGTCAGCTCTTTTCTACGATGTGGTTGTCCGCGCTCTACAGGGTGTACTGATATATCGCGACAGCTTCGATGCAGGATTTGCGAGGTCGGGAATAAATAGACAAAGGCTGTCGCCACGTTTGTCATAACATAAATGGACCCGTATTACCGCAGAAAGGAAATAAATTGCGCGCTGCGTCCCGGAAAATTCTTATCTCATAATCAAGCACGAATTTAATTTATCTTGATGCGTCTAATTGAAAAATCTTTGTCGCATTTGTTTTAATCATCGTGAATATTCGTCATCGTTAAATACGATACGTTGAGCCGCGAGTTTTTTTTACGAAGTAAGTTGTTTCAAAGAAAAAAGAGAACAATTATTACGAACTCGATTTTATTGAGAACTACTAATCTATTCGCTAAAAGAAAATTTTTAATAAGGAAAGAGTGCTATTTTTGATAGTATGTGCATATCGCGATAATATAGTAGAGCTATCCATAGTTAACGTTTCACAAGCACTTCGAACTTTTTCGCGATTTTTTTGAGCGTAAGTAATGAATTAGCGAGTAAAATTTTCCGACAGAAAAGACTCCATCATAGAAAACTGTGCTCATTTAAACAGCCATTTAGCATAATTTTTCACTAATCAAACTAGGACTTTATTCGAATTATTAGGAGAATCGAATATTTATTAAAAAAACTTGAGAGAATATTAAAATGCGCAAAAAGCGCAGTTTTTTCTTTATAGAGTTATTTAATAAAATTTAAACATAAAAAATAATTATAAATATACAAATTTACAAAAAATAGTAGTGCATAGGTATAAAAAAATTGTTAAAAATTTCTTTTTTACATGGAAACGAGATAAAAAAAATTATGTATAATAATTGGAGAGCAACTTTTTTAATAATAAACATTTTGAACGTATAAATATTGTAAATGAACGAATAATTATATGAAATATGAAAAATGTCATGCTTTCTAATTATCATACATAATTTTTTTTAACTATCTCATTTCCATGCAAGAGATAAATTTATAAAGATCTTCTTTTTTATCACAATTTTATCCTTCTTTTTCTTTTTGTTTTCTTGATTTTCACACAATACTACATTTGTAATAGTTCTGTATTATTATTTTTATCTCCAACAGCCTCGCTCACGATTGCCGTCTTCAATTAATTTGTACTTATTCAACGTGACAACGATTTAAAAAATCAACAAGAAATATTATAAGAGACAATACTATTATAATTTTGTTGTATAGTAGCCGCGAAAACGCTTTAGATTCAACGAGATTACTCTTAATGGCCAAGCTTTATTATGCGGCGAAACGAGAATTGAACAAAGCGTACTTTGCTTTTGTCGCATCAGTTTTCTGACAAAAAATTTCCATTTTACGAATCCTGGAATCGCAATCACAAGATATGCAATTTGTATGAAAAATGCCGTTCTTTAGCTTTCAACGCGAGATTTATCTTGTTTCGAATTACTCAGATCGTTTTTACCACTTATGATTATCTCAAAGCTACATCTTGCATTAGAATTAAGACGTATAACTGCATTACTGCATAATAATTGCATGACTAAGTTGTTGAAAAAAAATTAACTTATGTAGTTTCAAAAGACTTAATTTTGCTTTCATATACAATGTTTGAGAATCGTGAAATATTCTCACAGATGTTTTATGCTTCATTCTATTCAAATTTTCATTGCTATAATTTAGATACTACTAATTCAATTAAATAAATTTAGATATTACTAATTCAATTAAATAATTCAATATAATAATTCAATTAAAAACGGATTATTTAAGTATATTAAATATACATAAATAGTTATTTATTTGAAATAAAAAATAATCTATAGAGTACATTTGTGTGAATTCGTGTGAAAATTTTATCTCTTTCGTTTTCATAGTATCTCTGACAGTCAAATTTCAAACAATGTATAATAACGACGAATATCGCTGCGTCATTCTCTTTGAAATGGCACACCGCAATTTAGAACGTGCGCATATACACACACACATACACACACATGAGTGTACCAATACCCATCTGGGAAGCTGTCGCATTAGTCAGTGATTTATAGCGATTTAATGCGGCTAGATATGTTCAATAAACATGAATGAACGCAAAGAGAGGACACAGTTCTGTTCGAGCAATGTATATCGCAACAGCAAAAGGAGAAAATATCAGCTGATAAGGAAAAAAATCGAATGATTCTCTAGCATTACGAAAATGCATTCACTGTAAAAGCATAAAAAATCTAGTAAAAGCATAGAAAATATTATATAATAGAGTACGAACAAGTATGTCCATTGGAAATTATTTTCAATAACGATTGCTTTTTATACATACTTTAATTATCTTCATTATTTGTTTTCCAATAAAAGAATTAATACATCGAAACAATTCGTACAATATAATAAATCTATGATTTATTATTCTAATGATTACTTGAGAAAGAAAGTATTCGCAAGTTTTACTTATTCGTAATATCGATGTTTTGATGTCAAGATTTTACGTCAAGTTCATATTACATTTTATTCGTTTCGAAAAAAATGATCAAATGTCATGTTTTAAAGTTAAAAAAAAACGACACACATGGATATACACAAGTGCCATTCTATTCGATTGTAACGAAAGCTGCGAAACCTACAACGTGAAATTAAAAAAAATTATGCTGGATGGAATTGGACTCTTAAACAACAATTCGATTTTTAAATACTTGGAACAAGCCACGTGCGCGCCAATTTTTGATTTCGTGATGTTGCGTTTGGAGGGAGACTCGATTTACTCTATCCTCCACTCGGATCGTGACACGTTTTTAATTATAACACAAATTTATTTTATTTAATTCTGAATCAATAGGCGTATGGATGATATAGCCTTTTTATATCTAATATCTTGCTATATCAGTGAAATTTATAACTTGAAAGCAACCTCCAACGAATAAATATTGAAATTTTATGCTTGACAAATAAATAAGCATATTATAAAATTTACTTAAGAAAAAATTTCTGAAAAATTTATTTAAGAAAATCTCCTAAATATTATTTTGATGAGAAAAAAAATGTCAATCTAGATGCACTTTGTAAGACGAGATTGTTCGGATATTTTTGTTCTAATTATAATTTATGTTAAACAATAATGGGGAAGGTATAAAATGCAATAAGAAAGAATGAATAATTGAAAGAATAAAAAGCGCGCGTGAATGAGTAATTAATTTACTTCTCCTTCGAATTCTGTTGATGGAATTTCTGCTTCGTCACGGTTTGTAATGTTACTCTTCGAGGGAAAAATACCTTGTCTCTCAACCTTACGCCCTTATTTCGCTAGACACTCCTCTTCCTGTTTTCGAAATAGACTACTGGAAAAATTTGCATAATATTCGGAAAATTAGAAGAGAAAACCTGATCTTTCAATTTTGCGTTTTTATTTTATTAGACACTGCTTTTTCTGTTTTTGAAAATAGACTATTGGAAAAATTTGCATAATATTCGGGAAATTAGAAAGGAAACTAAATTTTGTACTACGATATTATAAAATTACATCATGTTGCATTTTCCTTTCAAATTATTTTATCAATATAAAAGAGAGAACAAGTTTATTTTTTGATAAATTAATAGATGTAAAGTACTTATAATTCAGTATTTTAATTTATATCATTAATATCATATATATTAGTATTATAATTTAATAGTAATTAATAGTAAAAATAATTTATATAAATATAAGTATATAATAAACAAATTTAAGTATATACATATACAATTTCTGCACATATACACACAATTGAATTTGTAATTTTTAATTTATAATCGGTCTGCAAATTAAATTGTCGATGGAAATAATTAACAATTATAAACATAGATTAAATTACACATATAAATGGTTTATCAAATTCAATCAATCCAAATTAAATCATCTCTTACATTTATCTATTCGTTACAATTATCTATTCATGAAAATCAACTTAGTGATTATATACAATTAGTTAAGATTTCAACGAAATAAAAATAGTCGAAATAAAAAGATTTCAACGAAATAAAAAGATTTCGGCAATTTACATCATTATGAAGGATACGTGGTAGTAATTCCGCATAATTTGGTAATGTTATGTCATTAGAGGGAACAGAAAGAAAGAAGAATATCAAATTTTATCTCTTAGGATGAAGATGCGCGTAGTAATTTTCCCTCGATTGAGCAACAACATCTACTTGGTTTGTTATTTCCTATGATCATTTCCTAAATTTGTGCGAAAAGTATTAGAATGAATGTATGATACGATATATTGTGTTTACGCAAGATTTGTTTTCATATGATTTGTTATTCCAAACCTTCGATATTTCTACTTTAATTTGTTTTAGTTCAATATTTTGTATAAATATAGCAAACATGTTTTGTTTGACAGCTTTTCATAATGGAAAAAGTAATTGTATCATGAAATTATAATTTTGGAATACAAAAATATTATATTGGAGTCCATTAAAAAATATGAATATGTAAATCTCAATTTAACTATATCGCAAAACTAAAAATTTTTAGTTGATTTGCAACAAAAATTAAAATTAAATTTATTTTATACATGTATAAATTATCTCATGATCGTTGTAATTCTCGAAATTTTTTGAAAAATAACTTTCAACTTTCAACCTTCAAACGTTAATAGTTTATCTCACTATATTATTTACATGTTACAGGGATGTACTGAGCCCGGCTTGCGAACGTCGGGGTGTCGATTTATCGCGCGTCGAAGTTCTGGACAGCTCATCGACGCCGTTATCTCTGCTGACAACAGATGCTTCTACCCTTGGTGGAAAGCATCTACGAGTTACTTGTAAGTTTGTATTGTATATATATATATATATATATATATATATATATATATACAATGAATATATATATATATATATATATATATATTCATTTAAATTTAAATAAGATTTACTAACAAACTTAGATATATATTAGATTGTATGTATGTGTATGTGTGTATGCAGATGAATATATCCTTTGATCTCGTTTTTATTTTTTTTTATTCTGTTATTAACTGTATGTGATAATGAATATCAAACATTGGAGAAGAACGAAAAATTCAATAGGCACCTTCGTGATAGATGCAATTTGCACATTTAATTATCAAGCGTTAATATAAGGCTTCGCAATAGACGTCATGATAGACGTACGTACAGAGAACAATGACCCGATGACCGATTTTACAGAAGTAATCAATAGAAAATATTCAATGAAAAGCGATGTTAAAAATATAAATGTAAATAATGATTGCGCGTCAGAAACTGTTTATCATTAATTTGCATACTTTTTATTTAAGATATCGTTCGCAGTGAAGACTCGGCTTTATCTATAGCCTTAGTTATTACCATCAATTAATTATTAATGATGCATCGAAATGCCCCGACTTTGTGGCTGACACATCGAACATAATTAATTATTCTACGTGCAATGAGATGGACTGGTTAATTCCCAAAGCTGATTAATTTAACCGCACAAACACAGTTCAAAGTTGAGTGACATAAATCGTGAAGGGATCACTTCCGAATTGACGATAATCCTTGTTTTTCAGAAATATATAACTGTCATAAATCATCCAAGCTTGTGTCGTATAATAGAATTTACAATATTTATATTTCAAAGCAAATATTGAGTTTAACTTTTTCAAAGATTTTCTTTTCGCTGATAATATCTTAGCAAATACTCAGTTTTTTTCTCTCTCTTTCTCTCTTTCTCATATACTAAAGAGAGTTTTCTTTTTTATTATTTACAATTCTTTTAAGTTTTAAATTTATATTTATATAAATCTTTTAATTTAAATTTATATAAATCTTTTTAGAGACTTTTCAGAAATAGAACATTTTATAGAAAACCTTTGCGAAATATTAAAATACTTTTATAAGTCTCGTTGTAAATATTTAAATGCTGGAAAATATAAGTGCATATTTAAAGCGCAAAATATATTGCACATTTGGTTCAATTACAACTAGAAGCTACAAGACGGTTTAAGCAGTAAAGTTAATCGATTAAACTCTCTGAATAATTTAGCCACCTTTAAATTTGTTAAATGATCACAGATCACGCACAGACCATTTTCTCGCTTCTCTCGATTAATTTAATTGTCTTCCGGCGACTTGAGACAACAAAGGTATCTTGCGATGACAGGCGAGGGGGCTTCAAAGAATCGTTAATAGATAATGAAGAACGAACGAGTAATTAAGCTGGGCTCCATTTCAGTCTAGTCAAATAGATAGTGAAAGCCTGGAGGATATTTACCAGGAAGATTTCCTTCTTTCATGCATATACGTGTATTTTCTTAAATGTCTTATACAGAAGAATTTAAAAAAATGCATAATTTTACACTCTAATTTTGATGCAATTTTTAATTGAGATATAAAATCCGTAAATAATTACGATAAAATTTTGAACAAATTTTTAATCATTAATACATTACATCATATATTAATTCTAATGTATTATACGAGGACCTTACTTCGCATTATCGCAAGTAATTGCAAGCTATCTTTATTGCAATCTTTGTTAATTGCATCTGGTGGCAGCGCATTAATTTATTTTTCTCCTTCGTGCAATCTCATTGTGAGTTAGATGAAACTGCTCAGAAAAAGAAGAAAGAAAAAGAATCTCGTACTCCGCTAGAAGTTTAACTACATTTATATCTGTTTGAACATACGTGTGGATAAACCGCGAATCTCCAGAGCCAACGACTTCATCCGTCTAGGATGCTTGAAACATGTGTACAGTGAAAATACCTGTACACAACATATCTTGATAATTTATTAGTACGATAAATCCAACTTTTTCGAGCGAGACAGGATTTTTTAGGAGAGGGAAAAAGAGTAACGAAATAATCTCGCAGCCATGTCTACATAATTCTATCGAGACAAAAAAAGGGAAGGAGGCAGTAAAAGGGCTAAACGCGCGACTCGACGCTCTCACGGAAAATTTTCTCAGTTACTTAATGCCGCTCTTTCGTTTCCATCGTGATTTCCCTGGTGTATTTGACTCTGAGAGGCACGTACACCGCTGAGAGAGGTCGCAGATTTCGAGCGATTCCGAACGAGCGAGCGAAAACTCGCTGAAAGTCTCAACGTGAAATGGATATACGAATAACGCGTACAATGCAACTCGTACTGAAATAACGTCCGATTTGCTATACGATTGTTCGAGGATTAAGCAAGTTTATATCTTTAAAAAGCAATTTAAAAAAGCTAATGTGTAAAGAATTCTGCAGATATAATTTATACTATTAGGATATTAGGTTTTAAATATAATAATTATTATGTAAAGCTGATTCTAATTATTTATAAACGCGTGCAAAGCATGATTCCGCATTGAGTACGTTCGTGTGACAAAAATAAACTCGGACCTACGAAATACGTGCGCGAGCAATACGATGAAGCGTAATTTTAGATACGAAGCGAACGTGTCGGAAAAATGTTCAATTTCCTCAACGTCAGGCTCGAGCAAAATGTAATCAGGATACGTTCACCCATGATCGACAGATCGCCAATAATATTCTTTGAGAGAGTCGAGCTAAAAGTCTCCGGGTTTCTTTTGTAATCGTGCGCCACACGAAGAAGCAAAAGGCGCGCGATATTATTCAACAACGAAAAGAGCTACGTGTCGTCATACGATGCAACATTAATAAGTTGATAAAAAATTAGCATACATTTTCTCGGAAAAGGAAAGTCCAAAACTGTAGCAGCAATTCGTCTTTTCGCAAAATCAATTCGACAGATATTACGCGACGAATCGCTATTATATTATTTTCTGAACCTCTTTTTCCAATTGCTTTAAAAAATTCCAATCGCAATAAATTGTCGATATTATATAACGATTCTCTTTAATATTTATAATACATTTAATAAGGATCTTATTGGAATCACATATTTTTTATTAATTTCTCAGTGATACTCATTGTCAGTAGTAATATCTGATATTAGTCGGACATTGATAATTATTACCACTTGTTGCTTATTATGATGAATAGCAGCAAAAAGATGATGCATAATGCTGTGTTTAAATTAAATAATTAGATCAGACATTAATAATATCACAAAACAAGAAATAAAAAAATATATTGATACTCTTTGTGCGTCTGGCAATCTTGAAAATCCATTAACTTTCGAAAAAGTTACCGTGACGATTCTCGCTCGCGTGTAGATTAGTAATACGAAAATTTGTCACGTTGCTTATCAGAAAATGAAGCGTAGAAAACTGACTTCCGTTTGCGCGGACGGAAACGAAAATGCAGTACATGTCTTTGACGGCAAATGGGTAACGATTTTCTTTCGATCGCCCGCTTTGTCGAGACCGATGGAAAAGCTGCCACACCGCAACGAAATTAAACCGGAACTAGTTGCAGGACCCTTGCACGCTCAAGGAACCGCGATAGGAATAACTGGTTACTATCTGGACCCAGATGTCGATACAAGCTAGCATACCTGGAACCAATATAGGGACACGATGCAACTTCGAGTGATTAAAATTCAAAACTATCTAAATCCGTAACAAGGAGATTGCGACGTTGTATGTAACAGACCGACGTATGTAATTAAAGCATCATATCTATCTTACATTACGAACATGTATGTATATTTAAATTTAGTTAAATTATATAATTACATATTCTAAAAGTATTTTATTCCTCTGTAATAGAAATTTCTGTAATAACTTTCTAGCTTCGTAAAATTTTGTGTAGTACATATGTATAGGTTTATTTATTTTTTTGCATATAATAATTATTAATTTCAAATATAAATATACAGGATATCTTGCATATATTAAAAAAATTCAAAATATTATATATAAAATTTAAAAAAAATATATATATATAATCTAACGAAATATATACACGTCCGTAGTATATATAGTAGATATAATGCTTTAATTACTAGTAAATAAATTTTATAATCAAACAGGAGTTTTAATACAAACAGAAAGACAATATATAAAAATATATAAAAAATAAATCGAAATTTAGAACTTTGCTTTTCAAAACGCTTTCTAGATTCTCTAAAACTTATATATTGAAATAAAAAAAAAGATATAAGTATGATCTCTTGTACATTTTTATTTTCACAAAGCGATCATGAAGTTTTAATAGAGTCAATAGATGAGAGCATAAGTGATCCAGTTATCCCTGGATAATGGTAAAGTTAATGCTAACAGCGACCCTTATAATGCATTTGATCCTTTGATCCTTTTGCGTCCGATAAAGTTGAGTCGCGTACTATCGGCATGTTGGCCATAGAAAAGTTCTCGAAATTGGGATGCCCCAGGCATTCGTACAATTTAAACGAGCCTCTCAATTTTCTCACGCAGAGATATTATGCGTTACTAACAAAGTCGTTAAAGTTCGATTCACGATCCTCAACCATGATGCTTTATAAACGTTTAAATATAAAACGAATTCGCTTCGTACATGTTGAAAATGATGTTTGCAACATCAAGCAAAAATATTGCGACTAATTGGATCTTATATTTTGCGAACGGATTACATAATGTGTCGCAGAATGTCCAATTTGTAAAATAGAAAAGATTGTTTTTTAAACAGATACGTAATCTCTTATTAATATATTAGAAAGTTTATTACGGTTTGCATAGTTTTATAAATTTTAATATCAATTTATAATCCCAACACACAGAAATTATTAGATAGAAATTATTGGATCGGGAATTATAAGAAGAATAATTGATTGATTGAAAAATATCAGATATATAGATATACGTAATATAGTAACTCTCGTTTTCTCATTTCAGTTAAGGATGAAAGATTGAATTCTCGAACGTCGAGTCAAAGGGGAAACCAGAATGTGCCGTTGCGGAAAACTAGTGGAGTAAGTAGCTCACTTCCATCAAAGTAATACTTTAAATTGAATTTCACGACAACACATACAGGTGATAAATTTCCTATTCTCACAAATAAAAGTTTAATTAACTCATCTTTATCGCGAAGAAATCCCTTTAAGATCAAAGGGAAATTTATATATATATAACTCTATTCAAGATCGCGTCACATACAATACGATCACATCACATATAATACGATCACATCACATTAACGCGAAAGACAGAGTCTACATCTCGGGATATAGTTTGCAGAAAGTATATCGACGCATCATCATTTGTCAAACGCGAACACACCTTTGTCTCGCAAACATTTTCTTTTAGCGACGCGCTCTACGAAGATGAAGAAGCGCTTTAGCATCTGCGAACAATAATGCTGTAGCCCTTTTCCGAGCCTTGACCCACTGATACGGGAACAACAATACAGCCGGGCTGACAAAGACAAATCGCAAAGCGATTCGTCGGGTGTGAACAAAGCCGCGTTGAATGAGACGCGACGGCACATCATCGGTTAACACTGTCGATATCAGGAGCGAGATTTTCTCGCGGCAAATTTTCTAGAAATGACTGAAAAATTCGCACGAGAATTTTGTTCATTAAATATAATTTGAAAGAATTTAATACGAATAGCTGCAATTTTTTAAATAAATTTTCATCATTTGTATTATCGCCCCGTTATATTTTCAGTTAATTAAAATGCAAAAATACAATCAAAATTTGCCTTTACTCTTGCTCTTCCTGTTCATGATAAAAAATTTTTATAATCGATAATAAATTGAAGAGAATTAATTTTCCAACATGATATTGTCTGTATATTCCAGCGTTATACAATTACATCTGAATTCTAGTGACTTAGTAATTATTATCTTTGTATGTGTGCTGTACGTTACACTATTGTCGGAACAACAATTACGTCAGCATTCCAACTCGATTCGCGTAACACGCGACGCAGCTGCCTCATCCGTACCGGATACAACCGGATGAATCCACTTGGTCAGCAATGTAATCCCTCGTGTTTCCGTCAATTCAGCGTACTTCAATCTAGACGCAAATAAAACCAACAAGTTTTAATCCTGACAAGTGTCAAAGACAAAGCCGACTCCGGGCGTCAGTGAAACAAGCGCATATTTGATCCGACACACCTTCGAGAATCCATTTTTCCATTTTCGTTTTCCATTTTGCGATCAAGTTGATAATTGTTGCAATTGCAGTTTCATCAGAATTAAAATTGAATAATTATTGAAATTAATCACTAAATTAATTTTATTATATATTACATATTAATAAAAAATTTATTATATATTAATAATTTTGTTAAGAATTGAAACATTAATTTCAGGGCATCGTACATGTCTTAATTATTAACTTTACTTAATATTTCTTTTTTTACATCGAAAAAATTATTTAAATTTCTTTGCTGTAATCGATTGTTACTCGGAAAATTCACGCAAAGGGTGCGTTTTACAGATCGACGATTTTCGGCATGACGGATAGGACATTAAAGACACGATAGATTGTAATAAAGATTCGCTATCGCTGTTATTACGGTACACTTTATAGATGAAATCTGCTCGCGTTCGACGTCACGTGAAACGAGCAGGCAAAACGTTGATTACGCTACATTAACGCATATACATCGAAACACATTTACCGGGGAGAAAGGCTTTTATCGCCATGCAATAAATTTACTATAATATTTCGCTTGTCTTCATCGTCCTTGAAATGTCACAGGAGAATTTTAATTCTCGTAAAAATTAATAAAACTTTGCGATTTTATGTAATCGAGCAAGAAATTCAGCTTTTTTTAAATTAATCTTTAAGACGAATACAAAATATCTTTGAAATAAAATTGAAATTATTTATATTATTCATCGAATATTCAAAAACGAAAAAAAAAACATGCAATAACTATCAGATACCGCACTCTATTCGCATTAAAGGAAAATTTCTAATCTCTGGACCGGGAAATAATATTTTATTAATAAATAATTAATAAATGCGACTCTTTTTTTCACAATTGAAAATGACTCTTTTTTACAGTTAAAAATAATTCTGTTTTAAAATGAAAAAAAAATGAATTAAATTGCGTCAAGCGTGAAATCGATGAATGTATAATCGTATTGGCATATGTATGAGGAAGCGTTTTCGTAAATATGGTAACGCACGATATAATGCACGAAAGCGTAACGAGAACGATTTGTCGCGGTGAGTGACGCGGTGCACGACGAAAGGATAACGTTAATAAAATGCTGGGAAAGTTTCCCTTAACGCGGATTGGCCCCGCGTTGGACGCGATACATTATTCATGGCGTTACCAACACATCGCACACTCGATAGCGGATTACAGAGCGCGATAACTGAACGAGCAATTTCTAGAATGTTGCCTTCATTTCAAGAAGCTTTCGACTTGATGCACGACCACGGCATAATCGTTTGACAAGTGAACGAGTTTGAAGATGTTAATAATTTATCAAAGTCATTTTGCGCCAGACGTTTCGCGCTCTCTCCCTCTCTTTACGAGTAATGCAATATTAATATTCGCAAAAATGTTGAAGAAATATATTTCTATTATCTATGAAGAAATAATAAATAAAAATATTATTTAGAGAGAAAATATATTTTTATTTTTTCCTGACGTTATAAATTAAGTCTCTCACTTATAGACTCTAATTAGAAATTTTTTATCGACAGAATTATCGAGGCCGAAGTGGTCGTTTCTTCAGCGTTTCCACCGAAGATACGAACGTCGATTCCGAGGTTGGTGGTGTCTGCACGACGCTCGCTTCTGGTCGGAGTTCCGCTGGGGCTGCGGGACTCAAATCCAGTAAGCAACGCTGGAGCGGATTCTTCACCAACACCAAGGGTATCAAGATGGACCTTTTAACTGCCCAATTGGACGAGTACAACAAGCATGGCGTGCCGAGACCAGCTAATATTCATTTTCAATGTGATCCAACGATCAACGAAGAAGGTAGGAATTCTCTTCTCTTCTCGAACTGAAAAAAACTCCTAATGTCACATCATGTTTCATTTAATGTGTTTTTAACAACTCCTCGAAAAAATATCCGCGAAAAAATGTTCAAATTCTCCTTTTTTACTGTTGTCAGTCACTATTCGTTGCATGCAAACAGAATTGGTAAAGTTTGAAAATTCCTGCTTAATGACTGTTGTCGAAAAGTAATATTATTCTCTTATTTCCACCCCTCGAAACAATATTTATGTTCGAGTGCAAAGTGCACGATGGTTCGAGTCGGGCAAAATTAATTCTAAGGTATTGTATAGATATATATCAAGTGCGGTCGGCGACGTTGTAGTTAATTTAAATTACTAATAGTATCCTTCCGTTAACGCGTGCAGTATCGAAAATCGAAAGTCAATGAATAAGAGACATTCTTGTGTGTTTTAAACAAAATAGTTTAGTTTGTCGTTCGATCGACGTGATTTTACGCGAGAGACTTGACTTAAAGCGGAATTTTCCTTTTTCATTTTCTTTATTTTCCTAGAAAATTTATATCTTCACTCTATAAAAAATAATTTAAATAAATCACGTAGTGTGTTTGCTATAGCTCAGGTGCCATTGTAATATAAGCATCCTTAGTCTTTGTATTGTTTCAGCGCTCTACAGTTTAGAGGATGACTGGCGCAACATAGTCGAGAATTCTCATCTACTCTCGGAGAAACAAACACAACAACAAACCGCTCTCTGGGAATTGGCTGAAACCGAAGTGGCTTACATTAAAACGTTAAAGGTCGTAACCGATGTGAGTAAAATATCAGTAATTTATATGCCACTAATATCTAGAAATTAAAACTCATTTTAATTAGAGTAGAGAGGTAATTGAGATTAAAGTTCTCAATCTTCCTAAAAAATAATGATCATCGTCTCTGATATCGCAGCTCTTCATGGCGTGCCTCTGTAGCCTGCAGGCCTCGAATATCCTGAACGAGGTCGACAGGTCCAAGTTGTTCAGCAATATACCCGATATCTACGCCGCTAATCGCTACTTTTGGACGGAGTATCTGCTCACGATGGTGAATACGTCGAGATCAAGCGGACAGCCGCTCGATCCTGGTCATCTTCTGCTGGGCTTCGAAACTTTTGAACAGACGTTTGCACCTTATACGAGATACTGCGCCGAACAAAGCAAGTGTCAGCAATATTGTAAGGACCGGCTGAATGATAACCAGCTTTTCACGGCGTATCTGGTAGTATGTACACGCTCTATTAATCTCTTCTACTTGTTCCTATATATTACGAAACTTTACGCAGTCAATTATCTCATTATTGGCTAATTTACTATGAAAGTTATGAACAGTTTGCGATTTAACATGAATTATGGAAACGGTTTTAACTGTAAAACACTAGGTATGCATAACGATGTCTTATACAATAAACAAGTCAACAAAAATGAGTGAGAAGAAAAATAACTTGAAATAAATCTTTTCTGTTCCTCTTTCTATATATATAGAAAAATTTGTATAACGGACAGATCTTTTATTTTAATAAGTTTCACAGTTTAACACGATAAATCTTTACTTTTAATAATAATCATTATTATTAGAAATAAATTAATAAGCTGAAAATAATAATGCAATTTATATCAACAATATTTCAATTACTATTACAGTGGTGCGAAACGCAAAAGGACTGCAACCGATTGAAACTTATGGACATACTAGTGATGCCGATGCAAAGGTTGACTAGGTATTCGCTTTTGCTTAAAGCCGTTTATAAAAATACCGAAAACGAAGAGCAACGTACGGAATTAGTTCATATGGTAAGATGAATTTTTCACTTTTCTCAATTTTTACTTTCCATTAATGTAAACAAATAATGATGGTAAGCAAAAGGGAAGTAGACCCAAAAATTTTGACCGCGTTGCATTTCGCAGATAAAGCGAATCTAATTAATTATAAATCTAATTCATACCGAAAGAAAACTGTGAGAAAGAAAACTCACAAGAGCGATAATTCCGTTTGAAAGATTCATTTCGCATGTAGATCAAGTCTGTCGACGGTTTCGTGGCGTCCGTGAACGCGGCCCTGAGAAGAAATGAGGAGGCCGCTCAGCTGGACAGCGCTGCCGCCCGTTTAGAGAGTTACGACGTCGTGGAATCTAAAGGGCTCGATGAGGAAGTGGAAAAACTGATAAAACTGTACAGCAATCTCGATATTACTACGGTACCGATGCCCGGGTGCCCAAAGGACAGTTTAAGAACCCTTCTTCGAGAAGGGGATTTGAAATTAAGAGATGCCACCAGCAAAGTATATACGTTAATAATGTTATTTAATCAAATTAAAACTATATATAATGAGTTTATATACAATGAATAAAATAAAATTACATAGAAATATATCGATGAAAAAAATATGCATGATTGTCGATAAAAGGCGAGATAATTGAAAATAATACTGTATTTTGGTTTATTTTATGAAATAGTTTCTATAAATTTACATAATTTTTTAACTTTCTTTTCTATTTCTTTATCTTAAAAGTACCAAACAATGATTTAATTCTTTATTATATGAAATAAAAAGTGAAATATGATATCTGTCAATTATCTTTTATAGATGGAAGTGCACGTACTATTATTGACGGACATGCTGTTGATTTGCAAACCTACAACGAAAAAAATGTTCAAGATCATTAGGCAACCGTATGTTGTCGATCGGATACGAATACACGAGGTCAAAGAACCGTCTAGTCTGGGATTGGTTTATCTTAACGAGTACGGGACAGTTTCGGCTGCTTTAATTCTCAGCGCCGGTGACCCGAAACTAGCCAAGGTAACTCGACAAATAGCCATCACGAATTACGACGAATTACAAAGTTTCGCGAAATGTTGACTGTCCGGTTTGATTTAGATTCCATGTTCGTAGTGTACCTTCATTAACGACAGTCTTCAGCAATGTCGCTTAATTAATAGTTTAAATTAGGTAATAGTTTAAATTAAATCTTCTCTCCTTCTAGCTTATACATACGCAATGCAATTTTTTAATGATCTAGAAAAGAGAAGATAGTATTAATTAAACTTGAAGTTAAACTAATGCTAATGATCTCAATGACTATGGATCTTCACGTTTTTAGCTAAGAGTTTCTAAATAACGAGCAAAAGTTGTTTTGAACTAACATTACCATGTTTTTTCAGTCGTGGATGGAGTCTTTGAGACACGCCCAGCAACAATTTGTAATGATGAAAGTACCATCACTTGGTACCGAGCCAGTAATGAATCTGGCAACTGTCAGCAGGCAACCGAGTACGTTGGGTGATGGCGATTTCGAGACAGAAGAGTGCGAGGGGAACTTTCCAAGAACTCCACGTGGTAGTAGCAGAGCCTCGCATGTTAGCAGTCTCGCTCATAGTCACAGGTATATTCAAAAAATTGAAAAAAAATATCAACACACAATTAAAATATTGTCGATGCGACACAATTGTATGTAAAATGTCTATAGAATATATTCCATTATTTCTAGCGGTAGTATGGAGATGGAAGGCGTGTCTCCGGGAAGTAGCAGTTTTCTACCCAGTTATAATCCGAGTAGAAACGTCAGCGTGGAAACAAACGAACAACCGCGAGCGTCGAGTTCGTTGTCATCGGAAGAGGGTGGCGAATCCAGTTCTGGGCATAATCACAGATCTTTGCATATAAGGTCAGTGCAATATTGAAACTTCAAGCTTGCGATTTCATTGATGAGAATTGCAAAGTAAATGATCTAATAACATCTCTATTAAAACTCATCCGAATCAGACGTTCGTTATTGGGTAAATCCCCGACGCCGAACACGCTGAGTGTCCAAGTGCCGTATTCGAGTCTGGGACAATCGCTGCCCAATTTGACGCTGGCCACCTCACCACAAACTTCTACTGTGTCACCGACGCCACCGAACTCGTTGCTCATCGTGCCGCAGATGACAAAGAGCAAAGACACTCTGCTTTCACCAGGACACCGAGGTAGCAATTACCGACGCGAATTTCTGTGTTTATTTTTATATTATTTGCACTTGTTCTTAATTACAAAGACCGCACTAACGATGTAGTCTCGCATAGTCTCTACTTCTGCACGCTGATTAGAAATCATAGAAATATGTAAATTACTATCACGAGTATTTATCTCGCTAAACGCTTCTCTATTTTGAAATTATAATATATCTTAATGCCATTTGCTTATTAGAAATAGCGGAATTGTCATCCAGGAACACGAGAGAAACGATATAATATCAGGAAGGTGTTGTAATACATAGTTTAATGTAGATATAGACATAAAATGTTGGTGAATCGTTTGATAGACTTCTTTGTTACAGATATTATTTTCTAGATATCCATAAATATAATTTTTATTTGAAAGCTCTAATAAATATTGATAAAAATTCGCATTTATAAAAATGTATAATTTTGTTTGATATTTATCTATTCATAATTCAATTTTGATTATTGTTTTATATCGAAACTTTTTTTTATTTGTAAACAAAATTATGTCTTTAAAGATATGCTTTAAACGGATATTCATGTACTGATTATGTGTCGTCAGGTATATCCTATCCACCACCGTCGCCGCCACGAGGTGCTCTCAGGCGAGCATTCGCGTTACCGCAATCTCGAAATCCGCCCTTGATCAAAACGAGGCATGTGAATACATCCTTGACGCAACCGGTGATGCAGGCAACCACGATAAGCAATTCCGATACCGAAGTTATCGAGGAGAGACGGAGAAGGTTAGATCCTTCGCAGAGAGTGCCGTCGACGAGTAGCGTCATCGAAGAAAAGGTAACAATATTACACATATATTAGCACACTTTTATTAAAAATTGATAAAACAAATTTATATTTATATCAATTTATTTCTGAAATGCTCCTCAATTTATTATTTAACAATTATGTGCGACTCGAATAATTGTAAAAAAATGTAACAAAATGATAATAAAGAATGAAAAAAGAGAATGATAAAATTAAATGTCCAATGTGAGATAATAGATCAAAAATATATTATACTGATGATTACTTTAAATTAAATTTAAATTGTTGCTTTAATATTGTAGACGTTTATTGATAACACGCAACTATTATTACTCGTAGAAATGACCGGCAAATTGATCTGCAAGAAGAATTTTCCAAAGAATGTATGGTATGGATCACATCGCCGACATGGATGTACGTGATATGTAAAGTTCGACGTGGATATACGTGATATGTAATGCTTGATGAGATGCATCTTCTCTTTAACTCTATGTGTGAGTGCTGCACACACTTTCACATAGAAACAAAATTGAGGAGCGAATTTGATCTTCGAGGATTGATTATCTCGCACTCTCTGGAATTCTATCTGGAAACGTATCAAGCAATTTTACAATCGGTAAGACGCGTCACGCCGTAAAACGATAGAGCCATTTGCCCATATCGTTGTTTCTGCATTTTCAGATTGGGGCCATTCGAAATCAACGTGAAGTTTATACCACGACCGTATTGCTACTTTATCTCGTTATCCTTGTAATAGTAGATGTTTCTTTATAATATTTATCCAAGTCCGAATTGTCTATGTTTAATATTGCATCGCCTTGGTGTTGAACAGTCGCATGCAATATTCAATATTCGTACAATTTAGACTTTTAAGCGACGAACAAAAAGGCCTACTTAGCATAATTACATTAAGATTACATAGTGAGTGTGTAGGGCCGTCGTTGATATTTAAGACGCCTTTATAAAAGAATTTATTTAACATTTTAGCGAAGAAAAATTTTTAGAGAATAAGAAATCAAAATTACAATTGAAATTACATTGAAAATACAATTTGGCGCATCCAATATTTTCTAACGATTAAAAAAAGAATTTCAAGTACAATTGCCTTTTTCAGGTTCAACGAATAAATTAGTAAAGTAACAAGAATATATAGGAAGATATCAAAATATTTTAAGCTAAAAAGAATTTAAAATCACTTTATTTTTGTGTTTATTCTAAAAAAGAAAAAAAAACTTTAGCTTGACGTGCCGAACTTGATGAATTGAATACACTCTTCTCTGAAATTGTTATTAAATAGAATAATGATATCATACTTATTTGCAAAAGTTTGAACGTGAAACTTAAATTTAGTCAAAAGAAAAGTAAATTGCATAAAATATGATTTTAAACATAATATTGTTCAATTTGTTAGGATTTAAAACTACCCTCTCTCCCATCGTGCGCATAGGCTGTTATGCAATGCACAATTTGCACATTGTCTCACGGCTCTGATGAATATTATAACTTAATGATTTAAAAATGAATGAATGAAAATAATTCCTTTTCACTTATTCAGTTTTAAATCGTTAAGTTTATTAATAAACTTTTTGAAACAATCTTGAGCGTAACAAATGATTGACGGAATACGCGTCTGTATGAGATGTATAAATAATAAATATGAGAGGAACATTAAAACATATTTAAAATACCGTGAATTCAATAACAGTGTAACATGCAAATACAATAATCGATTACATATTATATAATACTTCGAAATGAGAGTAACAGAAATTCAATCAGAGAGGGGAGATTATCAAACGTTCAAACTATCACACGTTTCTTTTATTTTTTTAACTTTAATGTATATTTTTTACTTGCAAACTCGCATTTTTCCATTTAGTCATTTTATTACATAAAAAAAATTCAATAACTATGTTGAAGTATTGTATGTCGTCAACATGTCATCAACGTGTGTGTCGAAGATTATGAAAAACGAGCTATAATGGATTGTAAACGTTGCGTTATTTCTTGTGAAAAAGCACAATATAATAAATAGCAGGATGAAGGAACGAAAAGATAGGAGAGACACGGAAAGAATATTTACTTTACAAGTACAAATCCGACTGGACGATTTTGTTCCAAGATGTAAAAATCGATTTCGGGATCGATTTTTGAAATGCGTTACTGATTGGGCACATATTCAAAAAATAAATATCATCTATTTAGAGATAACATTAGACATAATAATGCCATCTATAGAGATAATGTTATATAAAAAAGAAAGAGAGAGAGAGACAGGAAAAGATAGGGCAATGATTTTATACGAGCTCCTGTTATCCAGTTCCTCTCGTTCCCTCAATTCGTATTATTTGCCCTTAAGTTTGAAGCATTAATTACTTCTATAAAGATACAAATCGTATGTATGTACAATTATAATCGAAATTGAAATATAATACATAATTTATTGATTGCGCTCATTAATATTACCGTTTGTCCTATAATTTGTAACTTTTTTTATTATATATGTAAATGATACATATATATATTAAATAATTACATGTAATAATTATATGTATATATTAAAAAATAATTATTTATTATATAAACAGTACGTAAATAATTTATCTAAACATAATTCCGAAATCTACAGCACATATATTCTGCTGTCAAATTAAATGTACCGATAAAGGATAAGTAAAGGAAATAACAAAATAATATATAGCAAGTAATTTAAATCTACTTAACTGAGACTCAAATTTGAACAGAGTCCCATTTAGTACAGATTTGAACTCTATATTAAAAAAAAAAGCAAAAAATCTATAGTTTATAAATCTGGTTTAACTGTCCAATCATTGAAGTATATATATTTTGTCAGAGATTTGCTTCGAATAAATCTACATCTGTACATAACTGTGAATTACTTAAGCAATTTCATAACACTAAAAAATTTTATCCAAAATTATATCTTCATCGTAGATAAAAATCTATTTAACAATAGTAATGAATATTCAAATCATAAGAATATATCATATTTTAAATATATTTAAATATATGATATAAAAATAATAATTATATAATCATCGTCTTCTTTTATTCAGTTTTATTTAACGTAAAATATACTATATATTATATCTGTATACATACATTTTTTTTAAACAAGGGGGAGAGTTCCTTTTCTTTTTTTAAAGAAAGTTATAAAAACAAAAGTTACTACTATTTACTCATCTTTTAACTCTCTGTATAACTAAATCAGTATTTAACAATCACCGATTGAAGAATATGTACATTATTCTTCAAATGACCACTGAGATATTGATCTATCTATAGAAAATATATCTTATCCTGTGTACATATCATATGATGTTTTTAATATTCTGTTACATCACATAGAGACAGTCACTAAGTATAATCTTACATTAAAATTTTTCATACACACATTAAGCAATTCTCTATAACACAAAAGTAAAAATCATTGCCATTTCATTTAACATTAATAAAATCTCGATTATGGGAATAATTTCCTAAGCCCGAAGTCCGATAGTGCAACGACGGTGCGTCTCAATACATTGCAACTGACGGAACAGCGACGGGTAATGGTAGACCATTGGTGTTGCCTCCTGTCGTCGCTACAACGAGACGATGTATCTGGATGATCGATATTGCACGTAATAGATGATTCATGAATCGAAGCGGATGATGTAGTCACCGATAATGGCAGCAAAGTTTGTATATCTGACGTCAAGCAAGTTTTAGCTGTATGATCGAGATAACAGTTACCGACAAACAGAATCGTTCGTCCTATAAGAATGAAATTCACCCGACACAATTCCTAGAATGAGAAAATTCCGGGATATTATTGTGCCAATATTTTTAGCTTCATTATTCATATTACATGGCATTTACATATATGTAATACTTAAATAATATCTGTAATTCAAAGACGAAACTCAGCAATATTGAAAATAAAAACAAAAGTTTCTTTAAAGAAAAGATCTTTTGTACTCACTTGGAAACTGCACGGTGATGGTAAATCCCAACTACATGGACGACGATCTGAAGTAGAAATCCGTCAGCAATCATTTGTCATGTCTTGACACGTTCTAGCTTCGCTACGTTCGTCGGCCACCGCTTCTAGAATATCCACCAAAAGATCGCGATCCAATTGTCTTAATCTGGGAAGCCTTACAACCTGTAGAAGCAATACTTTGTTATACAGATATATGCATATTGAAATATGTGTTGCAATGTTACGTGTCAAATGCGATCTGTACCTTAGTAAAGTGATGAACTATCAGATTTAGTGCATATTTTTTCATATCGGTAGCTTGCATTCTGTCAGCTGCCTCTAAAATCTGTATAACATTCTCGAAAGTAACATTCATCTCAAGATTCTGTTTGCAAAACGCTTGAAGCCGGTTATTTGTAAAGCCGTAAAATACTGGTGCAGTAAACAGATATAGGGAGTCTTCAGGGGGCATTGAAACATCCGCACAATAAATGTACCTCAGCAATGACTTGAAAGAATCTAATGATGGTATCATCTCTCCGATTTGTATCTATATAAAAAATAACATATTTTATTATTAATTGTGTGTGTGCATTGTAGAATATAATATTGTAAAATATTCTACATATAGTCTGTTTTTTTTGTTGTTTAAAATATGTATTGGCAATGTGTATATCTATTTTTATAGATTGTTCAAACTTACATTCACCATGTTATTTTCAGGCATAAAAGATCGAAACATTGCTTCAAAGTAACTACATCGCGCCGCGAGAATGGCTTTATGCGCCGTAATCAGCGTATCGGCCAGCATTAATGTGATGTCGCAAAATTCCTTACCAACATTATTCAAAAATGCTTCCATATCTTGCTCCAGACTAGTTCCTAACGAACAAATTCGATTAACATAAAAAATACTTTGTAAAAGTACATGTGAACATATACATTGCAAAAGATACACACCAGTAACAGATTCGTATTCGTACTTTGTAAAAGTTCTTGTTTGAGGCATCTGTCGTCTCCTAATAATTTCTACCATTAGCGGTTGATCGAGAGTTTCAAATTCTTGGCTCATTACGATTAAGTTGTAATTATTCTCCTTGACGACGAAACTGAGGCAAAACTCTTTTATAAAATATAGCTTTAAATGCACGGCATTACGCAAAGCCTCTAAGACATTGGCGTGACTTATGGTTGCCTCGAGGTAATTAACACACAACTGTTCCAAGCGTTCCATATTAAATTGCACAGCGAGACGATATACATCCATCATAAGAAGTACAATGCGATTACTCTGCGGATCCTCGATTTTGTCATCCGATCGTTTAGTGGGGTCAATATGATCGGTATAAATGTAGTTTAGCACCATTTCAAAAGCTTCAGGCACAGCGTCTTTCAATATCACCTATAAGATAACATAAGTTTAGTGACTTTATAAAGTCTTTAGTTTTTTTTTATTCTTCTTGATTGTCACAAAAAAAGTGAAATATTAACTACTAGTATTTTATAAAGAATAGTATATAAAATTGTACAATAAATGCAAAGATTCGTAGTCAAAACCAACAAATAAAAATTAGTAAAATTTTATAAATATTTTTGATAAACTATACTTCAATATATATAAATATATATTTATATTAGTTATATCTTTTTTGTTTTTCCATACATTTTTTGGATAAAATGGAAACACATGATATCAAATTCGATGTTTCAATCAAAATCACCTCCAATGGTGGGACTTTGATAGGTACGTCAACTGTACTAAACACTTGTTCCAGATGTTTGTCCCTTTTCTCACGAGCTTGTCGAATACGCGCCCGAAGAAATTGTGAGCGCGCCGCTACCATAGCTATGTGCGCCGGTATTTTGGTCTCCAGTTCGCCCACGATAAATTCTACGTCACAGAAGAGACGAATATTGAGTAGTCTGCCGAAATCGTCGTGCAACGTGCACTTGGGATACGATGAAAACTGAAAGCGATACATTTCGGCGGAACGTATGTTGTTGTCCACAGTTCCTCCAAAAATGAACATTGCCTCTCCGATGACGGCGGCAGCGTGGAAAAGTCGACCAGGTGGTATCTATATATAATATTACATATAATTATAAAAAAAAAAAAAATGAAAAAAATACAATTGCAAAGACAGGTTGTCTACCTGACTATCAGAGGACGGTAAGATGACATTCCATGTTTGCGTGTCGAGATCATAACAATGGAGATCGTTGGACAGAGCCGAATCAGCTGCACCACCAAAAACATAAAGATGACGATCAAAGCTGACCATGGTGTGACCGTATCGTCGCGCAGGTGGCGGCGGTGCACCACGTAATATATGGTCCGTCGATATTCGTGTCCACCTAGAAAAAAGTATAATTTATGAATTATAAATTCTACAGATTATGCAAATATGTAATCAATTATCGTAATAAAATTTACCGTCTTTCCTTGAAGTGAAATTGAAAGAGACTATTAGTTGTCCGAGCCCCACTCTGGCCACTAAAAACAAACATGGATTCTCGGGCTACTGCGACAGGAAAGTTGCAACATGTCGGTGGACGTTCACCAGCCGGAATAACTTCTTCCCATGTTTTATTATCACCAGGCTAACAAAATTATATTCAATTAAATTAAGGTGTCATTATATAATTTTTCAATATATTTGTTTATAATATGTTTATAATATTTTAGGAATATTTATAAAATATCCTACCAATAATGATATTGTCCACATATCATTCAATCTAGCATTACCATCGTAGCCTGCAAATATCCATAATTTATTATCATATACAGCAGCACCATGTGCAGATCTAGGCACTGGAGTCCTACAAATATTGATGTGTTTGAGAAATAAATATATTGATTAAAACGATAAAATATTAAGGAGCAAGAATTGTCAGATATTTCAAAAAGAGTTCTTAAAGAATATAAATAATATTTACAGTCCAATAAATTTCCATTCTGTCCACTGACCATTCTGAAAGCGATACTCAAACAGATCATTCTTATTACTAAGATTGGAGTTGGAGTGGATATCGCCGGTGTAACCACCAAACACAAACATTGATGATCCGTGAACGACCGCAGAGTGATGGTAGCGTGGTGCAGGTGGCATTCCCATTGCAAACGCTCTACCCCAAGACTTTTCTTTCACATCAAAGCGCAGCAAATCATTCAACATTCTTTTACCATTGTCACCACCAAAAACATAAATAGCATCTTTATATGCTACAATTGTATGTTTGCTACGTCTGTAAAAAGGAAAGAACAATTAATTTTATCAATGTGTTATGAATAATTATTTCGTTATGAATGTATTGCGCGAATTGTGTGATATAAAATGTTAAATTATTATAAATGATAGAATTAAATTGGAAAATTAGCAAGAGCAGAGAGAAAGAATGCAAATATTAATTAATTTTTACCTGGCACCGACAAATTCATCACACTCTGGCATACGTTGCCATCGATGTACCGTCTCAAACGGACCCAAATCCAACGTCAAACATTCACCAGTTGCCTTGTTATCCATTTCCGCACGCTCACGAAATAGTGTCTCATTCATGTGGATCGTTCTCTCCTTAACCTATGCGCTTTTCTTCATTGACGTATCTTTCTCTGCCATTGAGTCGAGTGCATCGATGTATATCCGTGAACGCACCGCAATATGAAAAACTTTAAATCATCATAGAAATCAACGTTCAAGATCGCTCCGCGAAACGGAGCATACATGTGTCAAAAACATGTGTGTCACGCGTAAATTGGAAGAATCAATACCTAGCACCCACATACATTTGTATGTATGTGTCTCTACGTCACGCTACGTCGCCATCGGCATCAATGAAGATGTCATATATCTTCATGTGACATATATATATCACATCGCATGAGAAATCTATATATACATAATGAAAAATTTTTTGGATCATAATATATAACGCAAAATTTTTAATTTTTTCAATTATAAAATTGAAGTATACTATATTCATACAATAATTGATTAGTAATTATTTTTGAATATATTATATATTTTATATATATATATATATATATATATATATATATTATAAATTATATTTAACAATTTTTCTTTATAACTGCTAAATTTAATTGCTATCTGGATATCGTAAAATAGAAGTCATGTGACAAAAGAAATAATCGTGTTTTTGATATAGCAGTTTTTATACAATTTTTTTCTTACGTAATAACAAAGTCCTTCATAATTGTTTTACAGCTATAAATTCTTTTAGAATAAAGATAGCAAATTTTGACTACAATAACAAAGTGAATTAAATAGTCATGTTTTGCAACAGTAAACTTTGACATACTCTAAAGAGTTACACTTACAATAATAAATCTAAGAAAATAAATATAAATAATATTATATACAAATTTTATAATCTTAAGTAATTAATATATATATATATATATATATATATATATATATATACATGTATGTATATTTTGTATAAAAGTATGAAATGACAAAAATTCTAATATAACAAAAAAGTACAGCAAGTATAGTCAAATTACCTAATAGACTAAGAAATTTTTATTAAAAATTATTTCTTCTATCTCTTCCTTTCCTGTATATATGTATATTATAATATATATATATATATATATATATATATATATATACTTTTTTTTAAGTTATATGATTGCTTAAAAAAGTAATGAAGAGAAAATGGATTAATTTTAACTAATTATTACAAAAACTTCACATATAATTATATATTTAAAAATAGAGTAACTGCATATTAAACTATAATGATAATGTAAAAAACACACGAATATCATAATATAATAATAATAATAATAATAATAATAATAGTAATAATAATGCATATTTATGTTATAAATAGTCGATGATGAAATGATCGTGTCTTTATTATCTAGTGCAGTCATTTCAAGGAAATATAAGCAATTAAGGAATATCGTTCACACGTATCATATAAGCTATATATAATTATTTAGGGGACGTTCTCGCATCTAAATATGGCAGTGAAGAACATGCAAAAATTCAAGGCTATTATGTGTCGCATAAATACTTTGACAAAAAATTTTTTTTCTTTGCAATAGTCACAATGATTATATATACACTTCATCTCTTTCTTTCTTTTCTCTTAAAGGAAAAGAGGAGAATATATTATATAATTATATTCATAGTTACATCTTTATCACCACAAATGCTTCAATCAAACTAGATAAAGTACTTTATGCTACAATTCGTCATAATTTAAAGAACAAATACGAATTTCCAATTCAATTGATAATACTGTTTCGAGTTGAACATATTAAATGATAAAAATATATACTTTTAAAAATTATTATTAAGAATAAATTAAATCAAATCTGATAATAATAAGAATTTAATGATATATTATACATTGAAAAAAGTTGTTAAAATAATCATTTTTTACTTTTCTATGAAAAAAAATAAATTATTTACAACTATAATTTTTTTTACAGTCAAACAAATTAATTTCCTAAAGTGATGTAAAAAAAATATTTGGGATTCACTAGCATAAAAGCTTGCAAAGTCGCATATCCAATTCCTAATATATTGGCGGCTTTGCCTTTTTAAGATGCAATTTGTACACAATTCAGCATATACATAGTCTATATATAAAATTCCTTCATAGGAGGAACAAAAATAATATTTCTTTTGTACAATGTAACATAATGTTATATAAATAATGAAATAGAAAGTGCTATAATGCCAACCATGGATGATGACGAATAGATTCACGGCTTCGATCTCCATAATCATATGAAACTTCTACACCATTTGGTATATCTTCCTTTGCTGTAAGTACGAGATGTGGTGTAGAATTGACTTCGACGATTCGAGCGATCAAATTACCGTTTCGCGAATGATTGACTAATCGGCCCAATTTATCACTCTCTGCTGTCGCATCGACACTGAAAATTATATGTATTAATATTCGTGCTTTTCTATTTGCTTTAATCAAAATTATTATATAATATTTTCATGAAGAATAATTAATTTAATGAAATTTAAAGAATCTCTTACCAATACTGTTGATTACGATGTTGGAAATAATACATATAACATCCAGCATTTTGATCTTGCGCATATATTTTTTCGCGCTCTTTTGCCTCCCCTTGATTAATCAGTTCGCCGATATATTCAACTACAAATTCGCCTTTAGCAAATTCTCGTGTCGTTATGACACCACGACCTTTACCCGGAAAATATCTTACCTATAATAGAAAATAAATTGTAACTTGTTTAGAATTATTTGATAAAAATATGAATTCTTATCTCTACAATATCTTTATTATGCAGGTTCTTACCTCTAAGCCTTCCTCTATTTGACAAAGTACCTTATTTTCTAAATCACGTTGTTTCTCCTCCAATACAATTTTTTTACTTTTTCTAACGCTACGACGTACTGGAAAGTAGTCGGTAATCGAATGATTTGTTTCAGTGCCCTGTGGCTTGAACGAACGATGATTGATGGATTGAACGGAGACTGCTTTCTTACGTCCACGTGGGGCAGATTTTTTAATAACTTGCAGTGGACTAAGTAATGTCATCACAGATTGCTCCTCATTGGTAGTAATTGTAGCTTTTTCATTTAAATCTTCCGATGGCATATTTATTCTATGCGGTGTAGATGGCCCATGAATCGGAACAGCCACCGGTGTTTCTAAGATAAAAATGTTCATGTATCATAACTGAATCCAAAAGAAAAAACCAAGTATAGATAGATTTATAAGATTATAATTAAATTTATACCATCAGTTTTGAATTGTTCTACATCAGAGATAACCTTATTTTTTGCTTCACAGGTTGAAACAACTTGCACATTTCTAAAAAGATAATAGGTGAGTGATATAGGACTTTTCTCCTTTGTAACTTCCACATTTGAATTCTGAAGCAAGTAAAATAATGTTATATAGTAATTTCATATGATTGTAAGTAAAATACATTTATTTTACATAAATATACATAAATATTCATAAAAGTATAATTAAGAGATTCATAGATTGTAAGATACTTACTTGATAAGAATGAATTGTGTGCGTAGGGGATTTATGTGTGTCTAATACGGATTGTGGTTTAATTACATCAAATTTGTTTGTTACATTTTTACTAGTATCAAATAATTTATTTTCTCTCTTTACTGGTAAATTTGCATCATTATTTTGCATAGGCAAAGCTGTAGTCTTTGTTGTATTTTTCTCTACACCACGTTTTCGCCTTCCTGTATAGAATCATTAATTACATTATTAATATTTAATCTTTTTAAATTGAAGAAAAAGCAATGTGCTATTTATATTATTATTTATAAAAATATTGAAATATATAGAATGCAAAAAAAAGAACTAATATTAAATATCAATTTTACAATGACTGTGATTTATCAATATTACTTAGTATAATATACATACATTTATAGATTACTAGACAAAATTTTTTTATATAAATATAATTGCTTTCAACAAACAAAAATTTATATAAAAATAAAAAACACATAAAGATGTACAATTTTAAAATTCCAAAAAAAAGAATCATGAATCTACAAAAATACCATGATCGAAACTAATCTCACACATTTATTCACGCAAATCGCCGTCTACAACTAACATTCTCAGCTATCATACTCCATGTTAGTTTAGAGCCTGACCCAAGTGCTCTAGTCCGAGTCCGCGAAGACCACAAATTACAACTTAACGAAAATCCTCGTGATCGAAACAATCCGATGATCGAAGCAACCGTTTCGTCATCGTTTAAATGACAAAAACGACGCGTCGATCGAAAAAGAGCCGATGAACATCGCGAGGAAAAGTACGATGCATCGAGAGACATATAAGTCGCGGAGGGCGTCTCTCTCTACGATAGCGTTCAAAATGGAGCAAGAGAAGAAGCGAGATCCACTCAAAACATAACCCTACCGTGGGGCCGGTGCGAAAAGCTGAGTGAAAATGTCGATGCACGATGTGTCCTCACCTTTGACAGCGTTGTCGGCGTGCTTTCCCACATGATGGGACGACGCTCGGGTCGTTCTGTGCATCATAAGCCACTAATGACGGTCGCTCACGGACGGATGGCAGCAATAACAGCGGCGTTGACGGTTGGCAACAGCAACAGCGATGCTACGCGACGCGATGAATTCGCTCTCGTCTCGTCAACGTGCGCTCGTCAGCTTCACCGCATCGTTTTGTCTTAAAAACGACAAGCTGCGAATGCGGATAATCCCTCTCTCCTTCGAAATCAAGAAGCTTGAAATTATACAAGCAAGCTACGCGCCGGATGTGCCGCCATATTGCTCGTAATGGCCAGTATCCAATTAGACGCAGCGGGGGGAACTCTTGATAAATTTTATCTACACGAAGCATTTCAATTCATTATTATTTACGTCGAGCGTGAATTATTTCATTTTAATGCGTGCAACATGAAAAATCGAGTATATAATAATAATTAAAAATTTGCATATTTGTGTGTTTCTCTCTATTTGTTAATTATAAATAATCGAATAAATAGAGACAATTGTTCCCGAAATACTCTATAAGGCCCTTGCACAACGCTAGGCAACAGGCGATAGGAATAAGGAATAAAAACTATTTATCAATAAAAAGGCGGAATAGAAAATATTCACCAATAGGAGCAGAGAATAGATATTATTTCTATTCTTATTGTTTTAAAGCCCCTTGCACAATGCTAGGCAACAGGCAATAGGAATAAGGAATAAAAACTATTAATCAATAAAAACGCGGAATAGAAAATATTCGCCAACAGGAGCAGAGAATAGATATATCTCTATTTCTGTTCTTATTGCCTGTTGCCTAGCATTGTGCAAGGGCCTTAATGCATAGATAAATGGCAGTAAAAAATATATTATCGCATACCGGGAGTCGATGCGAGAGATGAAATGATCGCGTGACGTAGTTAGTTGGCGGAGCGGCCGCACCGCGGCGCTGCCGGCGGCGCGCAGCTCGCCGATCGATCGCCGCAGCTCGAGCGTCGACGTTATTATTTTTTAGATGAATTTATCGGCGATCGCGTCGCATTAGACGATTTATCCGTGAGATGCTTTGGTCGTCAGACCGACCGGAAACGCCACATTTCGATCGGCAGCACCGAGACTCGCGATCGAATAGTTCTAATAGGCGTTCGCACGAATTCGCCCGGCGCGGGTTCTTTTCTTTTTAGCGCGAATACTTAAATCATCTAACGATCAGCGCCGCACGCAGCGGCGGTGTTGCCAAATGTACAACAGCCACCATTATCCGTACATACCGAGGAATAAATGCGTATACGTGATACGCGATATCGTCGCTAAAGACCGTCGTGGGGAAAGTCTCGTAACTTTGACTAGTGACTCGGTAGGTAATGATCCAGACTGACGTTACCATCTGTCTCGATTACTCGATGTATTTGTGAACGTTTAGTTTGAAAGGCGATGTCAATTTTCGATTTACAATCTTCCCGATGTCTCTTAGATTCATACACGATACGATAATATTTTATATGTTTGTAAAAAACAGCATCTCTGTAAATTATTATTATTCATATTTAATTGAATCATCATTTCTGATTTCGATTCATAGAGAGCACGAGTGCACAGGAAAGCTACGAGAATCTCCACACAGTTAGCCATCTTGAATAGGAATTTGTCAAAGTATATAGGTTTCTCGCGTCGTCTGGTCGCAGTCACATTGCAATCGTGAATACATGTGATAGAATAAACAAGTCAGCGTTAAAAATACCATTGAGGGAAATTACTTTTAATCTTTCGCTTACAATCGACGTTTTACGTATCGCTTTATTCATCCCTGGAGCAACAACGCGCCGTCTGAAATTTTGGATTGGTGCGCTCTCTTAAAATGGTACGTACATTGTGTGACGAAAGCAACAGTTTAAAAATTTCTTTTGAAAATTTTAAACAGCAACACCGAAATAAACGTCCTCGTAAATGTGTCACATATTAGCTCGTAACGAACCTTTTTGCTATTATCTCGATTATCGATTCGATCACGTTCAAAAAGAAACGTTAATCGCAAGTTCCCGGAAGCGAGCGAACGAGCGATTTCGTTTAAAAATTACGAGGGCGGGAGGGAGAGGGTCGCAAAAGAATATTCAATTACGGGAACGTCGATGGATATTGAATTTCCGTCAATGTTCCCGGGTTTTTCTCCTCATTCCGGCGAGACCGGGGAAGAGGACGAATCTCGCGCCCGAGCGAGCGATCGTCCGTCCTCTCCCGCGGCCGCTCGCGCAGCGATTAGTCGCGAAAACGCGGCAATTTTTTGGCTCCCGCGCCCTGCGAACCTGCCCTTATTCGCTGCCGCGACATCCGGCAACAGCGCGCCCGCTCAGCAGCGCCATCGGCGGCGGCGGCGGCGCGAGCGGGCGCGTGTGTTTTTGTATTTTCGTTGGTCGCGATGCTGGGCGGACGGGACGCGCGGGACGCGCGGGACGGACGGGGGCCAATATGGCGGTAGCCGAGCGAACGCGCTCTCGACTCTCGACGTGATCGCGTGAGATGGCCCGGCTCGCACGCACAGTGCCAACGTCCGTCGTGCCGATCTCGTAGTTCGCTCGCGGTCATCCGCCGGATCATCGCCGCGGAAGCCGTCGGCGATGCTGGCTTAATGCGACACGCGCTCCTCGTCGACTCCTTTATTCGGGCTGAAAAAAACCTCGCTTGCTCGCTTGTCTCGGAGCGTATTCCGTATAATCCGCTAAGTAATACTAGTAGCGTATCTGGACGCTCGCGCTAAGAGAATCGTCGTCGTCCTTGTCGTCCTTATTGTCCTAGCACCGACGCACGTCGTGGCAAGGAACGCGCACGAGATCTCGCAACACGTTTGTCATGGTGGGTTTTTTATTCTAGATATTCACAAGGCTGAAATAAAGAATGTAAGAAGGAGAGAGAAAGAGGGAGAGATATTTCCCAAGGGTACGAAGGGCACGCGCTTTCTAGGAAAGCTTAGCGCGTATTTTGTCGTATCTGTATCATTTTATTTGTATAGGGAAACGACTAACCTAGAGACTCGCGTGCACGATGTAACCTTTTTTCTTTCTTTCGCGCCGAACAAGCGCATTTCGATGCGGCTGTTACCGCACGATCGGAATTGTAAATGATATTTTGCATTATGGTAAATTTATGAGAGACATACTTTGTTACTTTAAATTTGGTTATATATATATATATAGCTAATGTGAAAAATGTCGTTCTGATTTATCGAAAAAGTTTCAATAATCATTACATTTTTATTCTTCAATTTGATTTTTATCAAGTCTAAATTACCCGTGCAATTTTAATTCAAATGATTAAATATTTTCTGTGATTGCAGATATATAGTATTTTAAACATGCTTTTAATTTATCTCTTACTTTCGATTTGATATTTGCTTTTGCAGTTTATCAAGTGGTATCTGTTAGTCGTAATATGTATTTTTATAGGCAACAAAAAAGTACGATGATGGAGTGAGCGATGATACTAGCGGGAGTGATTTTGATGATGAAGAAGATCCTGATAAAATTGAAGTACCTGGTAAATTATAAATTTATATTGTGTAAACGATGAATTTATATATATCTTAGTGTAATAAAACTTGTTTAAGAGAAGAATTCTATTTCATATAAAATGGCACAACTATTCTTTACACAAATTAAGCAATGCTTTAAAATTTAATAAAAGAAACAATTTTTTTTAGGTGGAGGTAAAGATCTTGCAACTGCCGCTGGGATTGCTAACATCAAAGATGAAAAGCCTGCAGATTTGCCAACAGATTCTTTAGAAAAGACACAAGGAGCCTTAAATGGTAAATCGTATACTGTTTCAAGCAAAAGGCAAATCTTTTTCTATTATTTCAATATTATCTATTTTTTGTAAAAATTATTTTTAGTATTGAACCAAAAATTTGGCAACAAAATTCCTGGTGGACTAGTAACAAAAGCTGCAACACCAGGTTATGAAATGGTGCATGTAGGAGGAGGAGGAGGAGGAGGAGGAGGAGGAGGAGGAGGAGGTGGTTCTCAAGGCACTCCACCAGGTTTTGTTAATCCAAACCAATTGAATCAACTAAATCAATTAGCAGCTAGTGGATATGGTTTCCCACCAGGGTTAGCTTCTCTTGCAGGATTCAATCCTGCTGCTTTTCTCCAATCGAGTAAGTTTATCTTTATGCATCTTTTTATGAGAATATGATAAATAAGACCAAAAATTTTATGGGAAAAAGAAATAGAGATTTTCTTTTTGTGATTTAATTTTTAAAGACTATAAAAGTATATATGAATACATCATCTACGTACATGATTTAAATTATCAATTTTTTCAAATAATTATTTATTTCAAATTATTTTTGCTTAATTATTAATATTCTGCTTGTTAAATATGCTTGTTAAGATGATATTTGTGTGTCTATTATATTTTTATGAAAATTATATATTTTTTTAAGAAATTAGATACATTAAGCTGTAAAATGTGAAAATTGTATTTATAAAATGTCACTTCTTTGTGATAAAAGAATTAATATCAAATTACGCTATATTATTATATGCTATATAATATTTATTAATTATACACTTGTACTTATTTTTCCTTAGGTATGAATTCCTTGGATATGAATGCTTTAATGGGTAGCTTTATGGGTATGCCTGGGATGAATATGGGAGTTAATCCTTTTGTTCAGTTGCTTAATCAAGGTGGAATTCCCAATTGGCAAGGTCTTTCAGGTATTTACAATATGCTAATAAAGACTATTCTAATCAATGCATCCCAAATATCGTAAAGGGCATAATTCAAGAAACAAATTTATACTAATTTTATTGTAGGAAAGACTGTGTCACAAATGTGGATGAATTCGGGTGATCCAACAAAAATGATGCAACCAAATATACCCGAAGAGGAAGAAGTAGATGATGAAGATATGGGAGTTGCCGAAACTTATGCCGATTATATGCCGACAAAACGTATGTATTAATGTCTATTATTTCTTTTTCTTTTTATTTACACGATTACTTTCAACTAAATTCTAATAATGAACAGTCAAGCTTGGACGAAAGCATCCGGATCCGGTTGTCGAAACGGCATCCTTGTCAAGCGTCGAGCCAACAGATGTTTGGTACAAAGTATCTATACCGGAGGATTCGATACGATCCGGTGCACTATCTGCGCTTCAACTCGAATCAATCACGTACACTTCTCAACAACATGAGCATTTGCTGCCCGATGGTACACGCGCCGGATTTCTCATCGGTGATGGCGCGGGTGTCGGTAAAGGCAGAACTATAGCCGGCATAATATTCGAGAATTATTTGAAAGGCCGAAAACGTGCCATTTGG